GTGAGGAGTTCTGGGTCTGTGGGAGTTCTGGAAAGCACATGGCTTGGTGCCGTGTGGGAAACCTGTAGAGGAGAAGGAAACTGTACTTCCCCATTCAGCTCCATCCACTCTGGTCCTGGTGGTCATGATGGCAACTCTGAGGCTTCTGATGAATTCTGACCATGCGCAAGATGTACGTGCACATGCGTATACTCAGTCTCCATTGCTTTGCTATGCTGGTCACTAGAACCCAGTTTCACCAGGTGAGCACAATTTTGTGTAATTTTGCAGTGGGTCTTGGATTGTTAGCTAGGTTTGATACTCTGAAACTGCATTTTGCTGGTCCTACCTTTTTCTCAGAGATTTCCCACAGGCCACTTGACAGCTGCCTTAGAAAGCTCACCCCCTGAAGGTTTGCTTTTGACTTGTGTTTGAATTGAGAACCTTTCATGAGTGACACCAGAACTTTACCCTCCAGCTAGAGGAAAGTCACAGGAAGCTAGTTAAACCCTGTGTCATACATTAATATATTGACACTCTTTTAATTACCCAGCCCTGTTGATGCCATTTGAACTTCCCCCACCACCTGCTGGCTTAAAAACACAGCAGGACTGCTTTATTTGAAGAGTCTCATCAATTTACTGATTAGTCCTTTTTGCTTGAAACCTATTGTTAAGCAGATGTCAGACTGAAAATCAATACAAAGCCCTGAAAGCACAAATGGTCTGTGGACAATTGTAGGCAGAGCAGGCCTCTGAATCAACTCTACCTCCTAAGTGCCATCAGGCCCAACAGAGAGCACAAAGCTAGAAGTGATGTGAGGGGGCTGCTATGGTGGCTAAAGGCAGTAAGAGAGAGGTTTAACTGAAAAGATTTTTGAAATCATGGTCAGAAGACAACGGTAACTGTTATCAGGGCCTGGCATATCAGGCCAGTGGGTGTTACACAGTTTGAACCACAGATGGAGTATGGGGCCATAGCATTTACAACACTGCTTGATCTTTTTATAGGACTTGAAGTTTTGCTGTTTGTCTTTTAACATAGTTGTAAATAGTCAAAAAGTGTGGCTAATGCTTATTAATGTCCTTTCCTCCTTTTTAAAGGCAGTGTCTCACTGTTCATCCTTGGCTGGTTTGGAACACACTATGTAGACCAAGATGACCTTGAACTTGTGATTACATGCCTGCCTCTGCCTCCTTAGTGCTGAATGAATGATAGACATGTACTACCATTCCTGGGTGTGCTAATGCCTACTTGTAATAGATATAAAACCATTTTTAAACAAGACAGACTTAGAGTTTTATAGATGTATTTGTCTTTTTAAATTATGTATATGCATGTGTGTCTGGATGTAGGTTTGTACACCTGCATCCAGTGCCAGTGGAGGTCAGAATTTAATATTGGATCCCGTGGAGCTGAAGTTACAGTTGATTGTGTGTTGCCAGTGTAGGTACTGGGAACTGAACTCAGGTCCTCTTCAAGAACCATATGAGCTAAGCCATCTCTCCAGCCCCAACTCAGGGTTTTAATAAAGTGATTTAGCTCCACCTATAGACTGGGAATATCAGGGAGTATTAGCAATCTGCAAAGCAGGAAATCTCAGTTAAAGAAGAGGCTTGGGAATGGACATCTGACAGTTGGGATTCAAATGAAACAAGCTTTCCCTGCAGAGAAGTACATCTAGCCATAATAAGGCATTGCTGAGAAGAAATTCTTATACTATGCTAAGTCCCAGCATACAGATAAATTAAGCCTCAGTTTTACAGATGAAGGGGAGTACACTGGGACTCCTACATCAGCCAGGTTTGGAGGACAGTCATTGGCCAATCCTGGGTCTTAATCCTGGCTTCCCCACTAATTAGCTGTGTGTTGTGAGTTGACATCTGCATAGCAGCCCCTGGCAGTATCTCTGTGAGACTTAGATTGGAGGTGTATGCTAGATAACACACTGTCTTGGCACTCAGAAAAGCACATATAAAAATGTGTCGAAAATAAGCTCTTAGTTCATTCTTGTGACTAATGGCTTTTATACTTCTTATTCTTTACGACTTTCAAAATTTCAGCAGTGAAAATGCACTACTTTTATGAAAACAGTTTTGTTAAAAGGACCTGAAATGAGGTGACATGAATAATATTAGAGAACGGCATGGACAAGGAAAGGATCTAGAAGATCCTGTGTTTTAACCAGGTGTAAGATAAGTATACAGAGCCCCAGAAAGGGGTGGGCCTGGAACCTAAGCCTCCAGGCCAAGCAAGGATAGATGCAGGAGACCGAAGCATGTGCCGTTACACTTATGATTGTACATAGTAATCATTTACATTGGGACTGTGAGGGGAGGAGGTTATGAAGACTGAGAAGAATCACTGTGCCTCTGAGGATTTGGGTTTGGGCCTTGGAAGAGCAGGGACTAAAGGGAGGAAATCAGTAAAAGTAATTTTTGGTTGTTTTCATTTCTTTTGCTTTTTTTTTTCAGAGTTGTTTTATTTTTATTTAGAATTTTCTAAAATGATTATGGGTACTAAAGAGTAAGGTGATTAAGTAAATATAGAGATTATAATACTATAATACTGCAAAGTTTCACACAGCATCACTACAATGTTACCACAATTTATTCCATAATTATTAGTAAATTGTTGTAGCTTTATCTGAATTTAGGAAAGTTTGGAGATAAAATTTTTGTTACTTTTTAACTTAGGTCTCAACATATAACTGAGTGGTCTCCAGCTCATCCTCCTCCTGCCTTGGCCACCAAGTGCTGGGATTATAGATGCACAGCACCTTGCCTGGCTGAAAATAGTTTTGACGTAATGAAGAACACAGATTTTATTTTGCCTGTGCTTGTGTCTGCAAAACACTCAAGTGGGTTTCAGCTGTGGGCATTTTATAATCCAGACCTAGAGCTACATGTTAGGATAGGACCAGTAAAAAAGGCTTTGGAGGTCTCATAGAATTAAAATATGAAGCTCTGACAAACTTTTCAACGTTCGAGGAACAGACTTAAAATAGAAAAAAGTTGCACTGAATCAAGAGATGCACTGAGAGGGGCCAGCTGAAACTTTAAAAGAGAGGGGAGTGCTGTGTAAGAATGGGAACATTTGAATCAAAGAGCCATGGCTCCACTTCCTGATGGGCTCCACTGTGAATAGTTTGGAATTCAGGAAGGAGATGGCAATGGGAGGTATGATGAAAGTATATTTATTACATCACATGTGAAAATGTCCCAGTGAAACCTGTTATTTGTACAGTTAATATATGCTAATAAAAATTTTTAAAGGATGAGGTGGGAATGTCTTTCAGTTGGCAGAGTGCTTGCCTAACACACACAGAGCCATGGGTTTCAGCTCCATCACCACATAAACTAGATGTGGTGAAGCACTCAGGAAGTGGAGGCAGGAGGATCAGAAGTTCAAGGTCATCTTTCATTAATATGAGAATTGGAAAAATAAAGTTGGGGAAGGAAACAAAAGCCTTTTGGATTAGGAAGACATTATCAGTGGCTTAAAAAGTAGTTTCCAAGGAAGGAAAATATAGCAGCCTTAGCCTTATTCAAGAGATCAGACCTGTGAAAGAAGGTATTTACTGATAGCTGGGGGAGATGGCAGAGCAGGGTCATAGCTTATTCACTATAAAGACTCTATGAATATTTGAAAGCAGAGAGGAAGAGATGAAGGAGGAGATTAATGCTTTGAGAAGGTAGAGGATATACCTAACTAAGGATGCTGAGGGAGGCAAGGAAGAGGAGACAAGGAGGGGCTAAAGCCTCTAGCCTAAGCCTGAAGACAGCTCTTGCCTGTGATTCTTCAGTGATTCTCAGTTTTGAGTGACTTCAAGTTTTTGGAAGTCTTAGAATATTTACAAGGGCTCAAAACATCCATTTACATGTATTTCATTTTTTACAAACAGAACACTGGCATACTGGGGATTGGAACCTTTTTCTCCTGTTGTGATGCAGTTTGAACTTCCCCACAGTACTTAGCACAGGTGACATTTGTTTGTTTTCCCCTGTTCTTCCCTGGTGGACTCTGAGCTGCACAATTGGAGATCTCACACTCACTCACTTAACCACTGCATCATAGGAACTTGTGTACCTGATAGGGGTCTAACATTTGCTAAATGGATAAATAAAAGAATGGATGAATCAGTGGGTTCTCTCCCCAAGAAAGGGAACTAATGCCTTATTCATGGCAATAATGGGATTCACATTTCCCTCTGAGTCAGGCAATTTAGCAAAAGCATTACTTCTCTAGGCATCCTTTAGGGGCTTTGGATTGTTCATGAGTGCATTCCTACTGCCTTTAAATACTCCCTGCCCCCACACTCGGATGTAAATTTTAAATCCTGCAGAAGAACCTGGCACTTGGATCAGATTAGGAGCAAATTAGAGAATAGGCTGGTATGCAAAAAGTCAAATAAATAAATAAATAAATAAAATCTTTCTGTGCTGACAATGACAATTTTCTTTTTCTTCCCCATTTGTGAAATGGGAGTCATGGGAAGAAGTTGCTTTGTGGATAATTATGATCACAAAGTATTTATTATAGACTCTGATGCCTGCTTTGGTAACTGTGATTTTTTTTTTTCCTATGTCCTCCAGAAGTTTCATTTCCAAGTAGGTGAAAAATTGTTTTACTGTACTGTAATGAGGTTATTGAGAACCCATGTGTTTTTGTAGCTTCTCCATTCAACAATCTTACTACTTGCCCAAAGCTCATAAGCTTTAGTATCTCAGTGGCACAGGGCATGGGTGGATACAAAATACTTGCTGGTTGGCTGAATTAATAATGCTTTACAATGGAAAGTGGTATCACTGTCATTCTTTCGTCTGCCCTTCACATCAGCTCTGTGTGACTGTGATCACCCACAGATGAGAAACTCAAGGCCCAGGAGGGGTCATTATTTGTCTTTACCTTGGTAGCACCCAGCACTTGTGACCCAAACCCAAGGGTTCTGCTGCCCTGTACCTCCTTGTTTCATCTTCCCTGGTTCTAACTTTGATTTCTTCCTCTTTCCCTTTCATCAGGAGGTGAGCAGAAGCCCTTGGCAGAATGGTTTCTCATCCTGCTTCCAGCCACCATCTGCTTCATCTTGTTAATTTTCTCACTCATCTGCAGAGTGTAGGTATTCTTTACCATTCAGGGGCTGCTGGGCTGGCAGGGTCAAAGCATTACATTTTCAGTCTGGCTTGTGTGTCCACAAGGGTTCTTGCTATCTGTGGGATTTACAGCATTTTGTTTCTGAATGGCTTTTCTGAGGCGAGAGAAGACAAAATCAAAACTAACATAAGGAACTAGTCAGGGTGTAGCACAGCCCTCAGGCACCACACTCTCCTTTTAGGATTTGTTGGCAATCTTTGACCTTTTGTGGAGGGTTTTGCCCTTGCATTTCCTTCACAGCTGCCAACTCAGAACTTGTTCACCTTTTCAACTCCTGCATGGAGTTTTTACATCTGTAAAAGAAGGCAGCCCACACAAGTCTGAAATCGCCACACAGCCTTCAAATATGGGCCTCGGTGCTGACCTTGGTCCGGCCTTCCGACTCCTGGTACAGAGTGCCTGACTTTCTTTAGGTCAATGCAGATTTTCCACAGGCCACACAGATTTTATATCCCATTTTATAGCCTGCAAATGGCCCAACCAACTCTCCATCCTTTCAGTCAGGCAAAGTCTTAGGGGAGGGCTGAAGAACATGTTCTGTGTTGGCCTGTTCACAGTTTAGGAAATAACTTTCATATTAAATGGCATTTGTTAAGATGCTATATTTACAGCATATCTATGGATGATGGATGGCAGTTCAATGAAAGAAGAAAAGAGAGGGAGGTCCATGAATTAGATAGTTGAGGAAGGAATGTTAGAGTGAACAATGAAAGTGAGAGAGAGGAAAGCACTGGGCATTTCACATTCATCTCCAGAAATTAGGTCTGTTAGCGAGTGTAGATGAGAAACAGCTACGAATTCCTGTTTCCTGAATCTCAGAAGCCAAACCACAGCTGTGCAGCACCCCAAGGTTTTCAGTGTTGTAGACAATTTAGAAGTCTTGATCAACAGAGAATGTGAATTTATCACACAGTTACTCATGGCAGTCAATTTCTAGAGTGTGAATTTAGGCAAGAGAGATGTTCACACTCACCCAGTTCCCTCACTGTTGTCAGGTGTCACTTATGGACCAAGTTGTTTCCACCAGTTCCAGTGCCAAAGAATAACATCAAAGATCTCTTAGTGGTGACCAACTGTGAGGTAATGTTGAGAGATTCTAAGAGCTGTCCTAACTGTCCAGGGATGAGTATCAGTCTCTCGCTTTATGTCTGCATAGATGTATATTAATCTCTCTCTCTCTGTATACACACACACACACACATACACACACACACACACACATACACATACACACACACACACGGCCATATATGTTGTTGGAAAAGATTTTGTTCAATGATAAGTGCCCTTGTCAGTTAAACTTGCACACACACACACACACACACATACACACACACACACACACACACACGGCCATGTATGTTGTTGGAAAAGATTTTGTTCAATGACAAGTGCCCTTGTCAGTTAAACTTGAACTTAAATTTCATATCCACCATCTCTCAGCTGATCACTGGCACTTCCTTCAGTTCTAGGACTCTCAAGTGACTTTTCTGTACATAAGAGGTACATTTGAGATTCTGGCAAAACAAAATTATCATGACTACTATAACTTTATTGTAAACCTTGACAATGTGTAGACCTTCAAAAGTGATTTTGTTTTTCCCAAAGTTGTTTTGATTATTTTGTCTTTTATCACATACATTTTAGAGCCAGCGTGTCAGCTTTTACAAAAAGGGGGTGGGGAGGCAGGCACCTGGAAGTTGAGTTGGACTGAGGTGAATGATGCATTAATTTTGGGGGAAAGTGACATCTTAACAATATTGACAGCATCTCACTTAGCGTAATTAGGTATTTAGTTTCTATCTGCAGTGTTTATGATTTTCTGTGTGCAGTTACTGCACTTTGTCAACTTTATCTTTCCATTGAATAATTATTTAGATAAAGGAAAGCACACTGTTCCTAAAAAGAGCCAGAAAATATACATTTTAAGGTTGAATGGTTTGTCATTAAGAATATATCCATAGAAAAACGAGTAAGCATGGCTGTGTTCCAATAAAACTTTATATACAAAAGCAGGCAGTAGACCACATTAGTCTGTGATTTGCTGACATCCAATTTAGGCAGAGAATTTTCCTAACAAACTTAGAACTTTCTCCAATGTAAGTGACTGGACCATCTGGTAGCTGGTTGGGAAAGACAGGGGTTGATGAAAAACTCACCAAAATGATTAATTTCAACAAACTCCAAAATTTCTTTAGAGTTGGCAATTTGAGGGTTTGGAATGACTTACAGATAGTAGGGACCTAAGCCACTGAGGCAAGGAATGAAGGCCAGCCAGCTTGTCCCACTGCCCTGGGATGAATCTTTGTATTCTCCTCCACTGAAGAACAGTCCTTCTGTTCTCACTTACCCATAGCTCTTTGGGAAGGGGAGGCCCTGTGTGAATCCACCTTGGCTCATCTGGATATACACTGCCAATTCCTCTTTGTTGTAGCAGAGAAAATCACACTGGAGTTAAACATGACACTGCAGTCATTTGCTCTGTTCTCTTAATGGACAATTTTAAGACTGATATCTAATTTCCCTACAGAGCTCCAAAAGATTCTGTTAATATTCTAGGACTGGTGAAAGAAACTGGCTTAAGAGCTTACTGTCTAAGCTTCTGGTTTGTTGTTAATTAAAATCAAGTCATGTGTGTAGAATAAGGACTTGGGGTAGACAAGCTGGTTTCAGAACATGTGGAGGATTAATGTCAGCATTGCCTGGCTTCTCAGGACAGCTTACTCTCTCATCCCATTGCAGAGTTTTACATGAAAACAAATGGAGAAGAGAGAGGAAGAAAGAGGGAGCGAGAGGCAGAGAGAACAAAAGACTCAGAAAATGAAGTATGACACGGTGTTCTCAGCACTAGGCCCAAAGTTTGAACCTGAGAGAGAATGTGAACAACCACAAAGCTAAGCACATTTGGGCCATGTGCAGCAGTGCCCCAGCCTCTCCCTCATTCTACTCCCAGGGACCCAACAGAGGGAAAAGGGGACCCATCTGTGCCTTTGATGGTGACCCCTGGAGAGCATCTCGTGTGTGAAAAAAGAAATTCTCTATGTCCAGAGTTGTCCTTTAGTGGTAATGGTGTGAAACCGGTTGAGCACCCACTGTGGATGCCAAAGCCTGTGATGCTCACTCAAGTTCTTGATGTAAAGGGGCACAGTATGAGCTGAGACCTTACACATCCTGCCCTACATTGTAATCTCTCAAGATTACTTCTAATAAGTAATACAATGTACATGCTATGTGGGTGGCAATCACACTGCATAGTTTAGGGAATAATAACAAGAAAGCAGAGCAGTTATATGAATCCACAGGTGCAAAATAGTGATTTGGGAGCTGACTGTTACTTGCACCTCCAGGCTTGGTGTGGGTGTTCAAAGTCACAGGATGTGGAAGGTACTGGCAATCCCAGAGCTCCTGTTAAGCAAGATTTTGTTTCTTCAGACCTCAACTTAGAAATTATTTTATGACATCCAGTAGGCAGTAAAAAAGATTTTTAAAAATCATACCCTGAGCTTTGACAATTTCAGAAACTAGTTTCTATTGCTTTTGGGTTTTGTACTGGTAACCAGAGAAATAATGTGCATAAGGCAGGGCCCATGTCTGTTGTGCTCCTCAGGTTGTACCCAATGGGCAGGACAGTATCTAGGGTAGAGTAGGTGTTTAAAATATGTTTAGATAAGTAATGAGGGAAATAATATGATCTCTCATAGGTAATATTTTTATTACACATTTCCTAATTATTACTAACATCATTTGTTATAGGCAAAATTAGAGAAAACAAAAGCTCCAATTTTCTAGAATCTTTCAGTTTGGGGATACAGGGCCTCATGTACCTAGGGCTGGCCTCAAACTTGCTATTTACAGGGCCTCATGTACCTAGGGCTGGCCTCAAACTTGCTATTTACCTGAGGATGATCTTGAACTTTTGATCTTCTGGAATTATAGGCATGCACGGCCACACCTGGTTTATGTCATGCTGGGAGTTGCAACGAGGGCTTTTTACATGCCATGCAAGCACTCTACCAACTGAAGTAGAGCTTCATTGTCAAATTAGTTAGAATATTGTTGAAAACTGTGAATGAAATAGGATGTAACCATTGAAAATGATCAAGTCAAGCTGTGGGTGTAGTTCAGGGGTAGTATACCTGCCTAATATGTGCAAGACATTGGGTTTCTTCTCCAGTTCCACTTCCCTCCTACACACACACACACACAGAGAGAGAGAGAGAGAAACAAAAATAATTTCAAGTATTATATGATGTTACAAAAAGTAAATTCACACAGCTGTGTAATTTATACTGAGGGTCTATCTCAGTAGCACACCTCATGCATTGCATGCACAAGACCCTAGGGTGGATCCCAGCACCAAAATAATAGATAAAGCTGTGCATCCCTATTATTTCATTATAAAAGTAAAGAAACTTTATGCCTACCAAAAAGGCTGAGGAGAAGCATTGGGATATGTTTGGGAAATAGGTTATAGATTTTTTTTTCTTCCTCCCCCTTTAGCTTTGATATTTTCCTCAACATTTACAATTTTGCTTAAAACCAATTGTAAAGAATTAAAGTATATGAGCTATTCTCTAAAAGATATGTAAAGATTTTTTTTTCCTTGCAGAAAACTGGTTCCAATGAAACAGAAGTTGAAATCATAAGTTATGTGAAAGAGCCTGGATTTGAGATCTTTGAAAATTCCATGTTTTGAGGGTCACTGTGGCATTCTCAAAGGAACTCATGCACATAACTGAGTGACAAGAACAAGGACTCTGTGTCTGTCAGTGAGAAAGTATTCGAAATGTACTGAACGCTCCATTTGGTTGCAAAGCAATGCATCCAGACTCTTGAGTCTTGACTCAAACTGTACATGTTTCTTGAAAACCTCCTTGTTCACAGCAAGGTAGCAGATCTGTTTGAGCATGCTGCCATATTTTCTGCCACACACTCTGAAAAGCAGCCCTTCCTCATGCCTGCCAATCTTTGCAGTTTGCCTGACTTAATTCAAAGTTTTTGCACAAGAGACACTTTCTAAAGCTAATGGCACATGCGTTTACTTCCGGGAGTGTCAGCTTGGCTGTTTCTATTGCCAGTAGAAGCGCTCAGCTAAACTCTTAGGAAGAGGCATTTTGCACCCTTCTGGAGTGAACCTGGATTCAGGAGCCAGGTATGGAGTATGTGTATGTACCTATAATTCCAGTCTTGGGAGACAGAGGTAGGAGGCTCTGGGTGTTGCTGGCTAGGCAGTTTGGTCAAATTGGTGAGCTCTAGGTTCAGTGAGAGATTCTGTCACAAAATGTACGGGGGAGAATGACTGGGGAGAGCACCTGACACTGACTTCTGGCCTACACACACATACACATGCACACACATGAACAAATGAACATTGCCCCCTTTTGAAAAAGAGGGCAGGATTTTGCTCAAGGATTATATTCTTCAAGGCATCTGGTACTCTGGAAATATGCTGAGAAAGAGATTGAGCGTATCTCTGCTGTGAAGGTGATAGCTGGGCCAAGAATGAACTTCTTGAAGAGATGTTTGCTGCCAGAGCCTGCATAGCAAATCATTGATCAACTAGTGCCCAATCAGCCCTATTCACTTAAGTTAGAAAGGGCACCTATAATCCCTCCAATTAAACATTACAACCTGTATAGAAAAACATGTTCATATATGAGTCTATATCTACAGGGCTCTGTGTTGGGCAGTGGGCTTCACGTAGAACCAAGCATAGCTATGTCCCAGAAGGAGGACCAGTGAGTTATAACAGGGACCTTGATAGTGTTGATTTTACATAGCTTTGGGTCAAAGAGCTTGAGACAAGTTAGGGAGGCAAGAGTGCTCGGAATCCCATCATGGTCTATACAAGCTTTCTGGAGCTGGTTTAGTCAGGTTTGATACTCCAAGGTGGGAGTGGGGCACGATGAGTACCATGTACTTCAGGCAAGACTTTTCCAATTAGCCTACGGTCATGCGCTGTAAGTTACGAAAAGTTGTGCCAAGAATGAAAGATACAACACTCATGACATCTGTCAAAGTCTGATCATTTCCCAAGGGTCAGAGTGCTATACCAGATACTTGACACCTCCTTTCTGGTCTTAACGAGCCTGCACTAGGTCATGGATTGCTGCCCACATGCTAAAGACACAGTAACTGGGGCTGAGAAAAGTCATTAACCAGAAAAGGGTTTAGTGATGAGCTGATTATCAGGCCCAGGGGATCCCAGTAATACAGAGGAGACTGAAGTTTGCTTTAGGGGTGGGGCCAGGATGGCCAAGTTCCATAGAAGTGTTATAATAATGGGAAAAATGTTTGCTCATCCACTGTCCCAGAAGCTCTGTGAATGGTGCTCAAGAACTTATATTTATAATAAACACTGGTCTGACTGAGCAGGTTTGGGGTAGAGTCAAGAATCTGCATGGTCAACAAATCTCAGGTGATGCCAATACTGCTGGTCTGCAGACCACACTGATCATTTCTTTCGAGCATCACAACTTGAAAGCCATCTGTTGAAGGAGTAAGAAGTGGGAACAATCAGTCAAAAGGCTGAGTTCCCTGTCTCTTGTCTTGCAAAGAAGAATCTAGAAACAGCACTTTTGAAACCACCACTACCTAGGAGGCTAGACCAGAAGAAGGAGCTGGGGAGCTGCCCCCATACGAAGCTAGTTGTTCATTTTTTGGTGTAGTCCTCACTTTAGAGCACCACCCTAGACCTCAGCAGCCAGCAATGCCCTAGGCTCCAGAGACCTCCTGCCCCCATTCCAATGGGTACTACCATTTAACTCTGGTTTGATGTAAAAAGCAATACAAAGCAGCTCACGTGGCCTTCTTAGTGAGTTGTGAACTTACTCTTCCTCATTCTTGGCTAGTGGCACTCAACCATTCTTTGAAAATATAGATCCAACATTACTTCCTCTATGAGGGCTTCAAAATCTTGGTAGATGATACCTCTGGATTCTCATTGTGAGCTTTGAGTACTGAAATATGTACCAAATAGTTGACTGCCTCCCTGTTTGACCATGAGCTCCAGGAGTGTGTGTGGCATGAATGTGAAATTAATTTTTTTATCTTCAGAGTCTATAACAGTACCTAACCCCTAAGAACTAGAAATGCCTAGTGAGCGGTCTGAAGTTCTCCCAGCTCTAAAACAGCACTTTTCATGTGTTTAAAATTCAACTGTATTCAGTAGAGATTATCAAGACCTATGTGGAGAGAAAGACAGGTGTCCAATGAGAATGTAATTGGAAGCAGCCAGCTGATACCTACAGGCTGATGGAACCTGAGGTCACAGGACTGGCTCCTACGTGCATAGGATGGAGACTGACTTTCCTTCTAGATCTTTCATAGCCATAGAATCCAAACAAACACTGGTTCACCAAGACATCCTTTGCAAGCAATACTTTATTCCAGTCCCTTTCCTTGGCACTTGGAATTCATGCAGAGTAACATAAGAGGAGTTTGAAGAGACTAGGGGATGAAGCTCCCCGACCTGAGCCTCATTGAGCTGCCTTGGGCCAATACTATTTATACTGGCTGGGGAAGAGCCCATGAGGGCAAAGAACTTCTTGATTAAAAATCCAAACGTTTCATGTTGAGTCTTGTATTTGTCAGGACCATCTGTTGGTAGAATGAATAAATCTTAGGTGCTAATTTGTTAAGGAAAAGGTAGATAAGTAGAGGTGAGAACAGAGAACTAAAAACAACCTTCGGTGGCTTGAGCAAAGGTGAAAAGCCTAATTAAAAGGCCCTTGTGCCACCCCAAGGAGCTTTGTGACAATGACTATGGTGCTAGTCCTGCTTCCGGAGCCCATAAATCGAGTTCCAGGATGAAAACGTTTTCTTTTAGAAATCATATTGAACAATGACAATCTTGACTTTTCTCAGTGTCATGCTGGGTTAGGTGATGGATGTGAATGTAAATGTGGCTTGAAATAAACTTTTTATCATAAGTAACTAAGGGTCTTGTCTAAGTCTGCATAATCAAGAGAGGAATATTTCTTAATTTTTCCCCTTAAACATTTCCCTTCTCTGTCCCCACTATTGCTATCACTGTCTCTCAGCTAAGACTGCAGCAGCCTTGCAACTGATTTTCTGACCTCCAGGATGCCATCTCTGTTAAAGGCATATCTGCCTGCATCAATCACCCTGTCCAAAACCCTCAAAAAATGCTTCATCAAACTAAAACTCATCTAAACAAGAGGTCCACTATTACCTGGCTTCTCAGGAGCTCTCCAGTCACACGCTAGTTTCTGTGAGCACCCTGCTACTTCCCCTCTCCCTTCCATGATTACTTAAGCTTTCTTCAGTGGGAAAAAAACCTCATCTTTTTACCATCTCGTCAACCTTCTAACATTTGACTCTTGGTTACCTCAAAGTTCATTTAATTTCCAATTTGAACAAAGTGTCCCAGGTACCTTCTGTGTAATTCTTACATCATTCACAATTTTGTTTCTCATCTATTGTGTAAGCACTCTGAGGTCAAGAACGGTTTCTTGTGTACCTTTGTTTATTATGCAAGCCCTCAGTAGTACTGGAACTAACTGGCTGCTGAGCTGAGCAAGACAAAAGAAATGGAAGCAGATTCCTTCAATGTGCTTCAGATTAGAAACCAGCACCCAGCTGAGGTACTTAGACCTCTAACTCAGCTTGCACCAGATATGAAACAACGAAGTAAGAACTGTCAGTTGACATCACTTTGGAAGCACCTCCCGTGATCTCTGCAGTCAGTCGGCTGTTGGTGCCACCGCACCTGCACACTTAGCGCACCTATGCGCACTGAGCACTTGCTCCAGCCTTGCCAGCCATTTTGGTCATCTCCATACGTGGTGTCAATAGCAACACCAAGAAGCCCACATGCATTGTGTTGAAATTCTCGTGTATTTTTATTTTTCAGCATCAAGATGTTATTAGGTTCATTTCCTTTGTTAAAAGTAAAAACAAAGTGTCCCTCTCAGGTGATAGTTAGCACATAAACCTGGGTGGATGGGAGAGTTAAAAAAGGAAAACAATAAAGTGTGGGTAGTTTAAAGGCCACGTAGCTTCTTAGAGGTCTGGAATGTAGGCAGTAAATACTCTCTGAGATTTTATGGTCTCCATTGCAGCTGCTCTTTATAGTACAAGGAGCAAGTGGTTGCAGTCTATCATTTACTTACAAAAATGGACAAATGGGATAGATTTCGCAGTTGGGCTAGTAGTTACCTGTACATAACTTAATGATCCAAAATATATTACTTTCAAGGGTGCTGTTCATTTCCTGTTTGTTTGAAAAACAACCAATTTGAGAAAATGTTTAATTAAATAATAAAATGTACCATTCTGTCGTGAGTCCACTGGTGAAAAATTGTTGTTTGCCTGAACTTAGCCTTGCTATTAATTGGTTTTGCTTGAAACAGGAGCAGAACTTTTGTTCCTATTTTTAATCTGTCTACATTTTTGGGCTGTATTTTAAATACATGTATGTTCTGGTCTTTTCCAATAAGCTATAAGGAGAGCAGCCTCATCCTGTTTGTCTCAGTTTCTCCAATGCCCAGCCCATGTGGCATACAAGAAGAGTCCAACTCTTGATTACTCAATAAGAGGAACACTTGTGCCAGTTAAATTTGCTAGTCATTTGGTGTCAGATAGTTTGTCCTAAAGATGGGTAAATACTGTATCAGTTACATAAATTCCCAACTAGTATAGAGTAGCTTATTTTCTTGGCAAGAAGATCATTTT